TGCGACGACGGCTTACAACGCAGAGTTGATGTAGAGGTCTTTCAGATCGCTCTTGATTTCTTGATTGTGTTTTCCAAATCAAACAGAGCCTATAAACAAATACAGAAAGAAACATATTTATGTAATTATACAGAAGTACTGCAGCACAAAAACAAGTTAATCCCATTAATTAAATTAGATTCGGCATATATATATATATATATATATATATATATATACCTGGGCAACATTCTCCTCAAATTCAGTGGGCTCAGCATTCAGGTCCTTGTGAATCTTTTGTGCGGCGGTATACATCTTGAAATGCAGCAAATGAAAAAAATAAATCAATACACAGTTAAACCTCCATAAATTAACAGAGTCGGTATTAGAGAAATTCTATTAATTTAGCGAAATATTGAACTATCAGAGTTCATAATTTAGCATGTTCACAGCGAGTTGGGACCAGAAAAATTTATTAATTTATCGAGTATAAACAATGGTTAGCTTCAAACCCACAGACCCATATAATTTTCTCACTAATAAAAAAAACATCACATTGTAGTGCAACAGAAGAATATAATCACTATCTAGTACAATAGATCTACATCTCTTAACATCAACATCAACAAGGTTTATTGATTACGCGAACAAAGAACAAAGAACAATGCGCTAACGGCAAAACAATTCAGAGTACTGTGGTTGAAAATTTCTTCGGAAAAAAATCGAATTTTATCGAATTTTAGGCTAAGTTTAATGACATATGGGGAGAATTAAAATAAACCCATTTCTCAGTGAAGAGAGCATACCTTTTTGCAGCAGCAAGATGAAAGAAACCGCAGGCAGGAATGAATCACAAAAAAAAAAAAAAGAACGGCTGTATGAACCCTAGTGTTTGGGACATTTTATATTCGAACAAAATTAATAGATTCACGGGCCCGTTCAAATGGGCCTAACCCATATGAGAAGGTTCAAATAAAAGCCCAATTGTACTTGGTTATTTAGTTTAGGGTTAAATACAAAAACACCCCTGTACTATGGATTTTGTATCATTTACCCCCCTGTACTACACATAAATACAAAAACCCCCCTG